CAACACGAACTGCCTTTGGGCACTGCTGGGTGGGAGCAGGTTGTGGGTTTTTGGTGCACTGATCTCCAAACCATTAAAACTACCGGTAACAAACACTCAACAGCAGAAGCCGCAGAAGCTGAAGATGTAAAACCCTGACCGGCTCCGGGCTGAGATCAGACATGAACGCAAACCCCAACCCTGTTTGGGGCACACGTTTCAAATAGGTCTTGAGCATTTCTCAAGCAAGTTTCACTTACTGCCACCCCCTGTTCAGAGAACAGTACCCAGCAATGCTTATGACACTGGACTTAGCGGGTCATGGAGCGCACGCACAATTAGCAGAGTTCGCAGGCGCTAGAGAGGAACAACACCTCGATTGTTCTGATGTCAAGCAGGTTACGTGCAATTGTGACCACAACCCACTAATATTAGATATCTACCAGCTCTTTAAGAAAGCTGAGAGGACGTGTAGAATACACTTTCATCTCTCAGGCCGGATGGTAAAACTAAGTAAAACAAAACTAAACAGAACAGGTGTGACCTGGCTGATGGTCAGTGCTCGTCGTGAGTATTATCAGGGAAAAGGTACCATTGAGGTACAGCATGGGTCACCTCCAGTTTTTAACCTACCTGCACAGCTGCAATAAGTAGGGTCTGCTTCAAAACTGTGTTTTTGCTGGAACCGCAGGTAAGCAGAGCACAGGCACAGGCACAGGCAAGCTTCTGAAGACTGCATCAGTGTAGCAATCCCATATGTTGGGTGGGATCTCACCAGCACCCAGGAAACGCACCTGATGCCAAGCACCATTTCAACTACACCACCCATTGATGTTTTATGACCAGCTCCCTTGATTTTTGCTATCGATTCTCTCTGCGAGAGGAAGCCAGAGCATTTCTATTTACTTCTTTCAGTTGCTGTAATCAAGAGGAAACGTCCTGTGTGACTATTTCCTGTCTGACAGCACTTGGGCGGCCTGTTCCCTGGAGGCACCACACAGACACCTGGGGCTGCATTCGTAAGTGGTAAATTAAGCATTTAGTCCAGTATTTAGTCCCTGCTGACTTTCTGGCCCACCAAGCCAGGCTTACCTCTGTGGGCATCTCCGGGTCCTGGATGCCAAAGCTTCTGATGTGGGGCGCTCACCAAATGAGTTTAAAGACTCTCGCTGCCTCTCTCAGGCTTTAAGTCTGGCAAGATTCACAAACCATGCGTCCTTTGCCCCTTCCAGCTCCAGGTCAGGCAGCAGGTCTAATTTCACATGCAGTTCTTAGCAGACTGGCTTCTTGGGATGACACTGGTTAGATGCTTAAAATTTTACCTGCGCATCCCAGGGGGAGCCCAGGCAAAGAGAGAGATGGACACCAACTGACCGGTAGGGAAGAATAATAAATGGACAGAATTCCCCAACATCCCAGAGCACAACAGACGTGAGAAGCGCTACATCCAATATACCACCAAATACACCCAGGCTGTGAGTCAGGGGAGCAACCTAGTAGAGCTGCCAGCCAGGAGCAGGTTTAATGTCTCCATCCAGGAAGTAAAATTAAGCACTGAACAGAGCAGTTTATGTTCACCCTTTTCATATAGGGCCTCTTCGTTTCATTTTAAGAATTAACACAGATCGCCTTCACGTGCTATGGATTCTCAACTTATAGCCCTGGCAGAGAAGAGCAGCGGCCGCCACCCCATAACAACTTCACTAAGTGAAGGCAGCTTTCAGGCTGTCTAAACTAGGCAAGTACTTGTTTTCAAATCAATGAGTCATGCGTCTCTCCAGCGAGAACGCATTGTGTAATCGATGGGCTTTCCAAAGCATGCTGCTCCCATCATTTGTATTTGGCAGACAATTTAGTAAATAAAAAACCCAATTGTTTCTACCAATGACCTTTCCCAAGTGCTTTCTTGTTCAAGATGCTTCTTCCAATATTAACTTCACACTCAAACTATGCTCATATTCATCAAGCTGCTATAGTGGCACAAAGACAGGATGCGAGCAATATTGGGCATATTTTTCTCCCCCTTTCTCTCCCTAGGCTCTCATTAAAGAGATGTTGAATCCTGTTCAGATATTGGTCATATGGAGTTGCACAATAACCCTTCAACTTCTTTCCATGTAATGTCCACACTCAGTCCCCTGCTATTTAAAATTTTCTTTTTGAAGGAAAAAAATACCATAAGAGTTAGTGAGAGAAAGATGCGGGAGAATGGAAAAGGAAATGAGTGAAAGCAGAAGGACAGCTCTGAGCTAGGCAGACACCGCACAGAGACAGAAAGAACACAAAACAACCTTTTCCAAGTGTTTGTGACCTATTTTAATGATACATCCTTGACCATCAATAACATTTCATGGGTTCTGTTGCCCAGAACGTTATTTCATAGGTACATCATATGAGTATTTACAAAGACGTTCAAATTCAGTAGCTCTAAACAAAAAGACAACTTAAAACATTTTAAACTACAATGTTTAAAAAAATGTAAACAGTTTATTTTACATTGTTGTAAAATATAAGAATTGTTTCTAATGCAGCTTCATCTTCCCCCCCCCACCAGTGAATGTAGCCTGGTGCTCAATCAGGAATGAGACAGAATTCTTTACATAGAAATTGTGCTCAAGTGTGCAAAAAACCCAAAACCAAAACAAAACAACACATACAAAGGCAGGAATCGGGAGTCCACAACAATTAAAAGACAACAAAAATTCATGTCCTGAAGTTGAGAAATTTATAAAAATGTTTACACATGGTCGCTGATCCATCAGAAACTTGCATAACTTAAATAGTCTGAGCAATAAACTACCACAACTCCAAAATATATCACTTTCCTTAGAAATGGAATTTTGTGCAAAGAGACTGCATTTTCGTTTGAAGCTAGATCATGTCTTTATTATCCCCTTCTCCCCACCATCCAGGTGCCACAAGCACCACTAATTTGACTCTTGATAGATGTTCAAGGTAGTGCATGTAACCAAAAAGGCACACACATGTGTGAATGTTAATATATTTTCGTGCAGAAACCTGTGCATGTTCACAATCATTTAGCAAAACAACAGTATTTAGAAAATGTAGAGCCTATTGTTGGGCAAGGTTATTCTTACACATTCCTTTCTATTCTACAAGCCCAGGTGTTAATAGGTCAACACTGGTTTCCAAGAGGTCCAATAACTGAGTAGCTTTAAAATAAAGATTTAAAAATAAATCAGCAAGTGACATTATTATAGATACTTTGCTTCCATCCACATTACCTATGCAATTTTACTGAGGGTACCATACTTTAATGCTGTCAGTAATAAATAATTAAGATACATTTTTCTTCCTGTTAATGAAGACTTTGATTGCTCCAGTGAAGTCAGCTGATAGAAGCACTTCTGTGTGATCCGTCTTCAAAGCACCTGAACGGGGGAAAAAGGAAGGAAAGGCTGGTTCAGCTGTATAGAAAACTGCTCGTTAAAAACAGAACGAGTGGTTTGAATAGAAGGCACGGTCTGCATTGCCATCTTGGTGATGCGCCTTACCCTCTTGCATATTATCCAGTGGTTGCTACTGGTCACATGCCAAAATCATGTGTTCCTTGGGCCAGGGACCAGTTCATTAATGATACATTTATATAGCACGTATCCCAGTGGGGAAGGGGAGATGGAAGAGATGCGCTTCTGAGACAGGGCTTCAACGGCAGGCCCCTCAGAGTCCAAAGAATTGCTTTCATTTGCACATTTAAGAACGGCCGGGGGGGCCTACGAGCTGGAAGTTCTCAGCCATGTGCTCTCTTCCACTATTAAAAAGCTCTGCAGCCCTGGGAAGAACAAGCTTTGCCCTCAAGCGGCACTTCCACAGCCCCATGCAGCACCTTACCAGACGGGATGGTGTCAGATGTTTCAGGATCATCTCCCGTACTTTCAGCTTCTTGTTTTTCCGAAGTTTCCAGCAATACCATCAAACTGGGGTTAGGAGCAAAAATTGCTGATGTGACTACTGCGTTGTGAGCTAAAGAAACAGAGGAAGTCCACTTTGTATTGAATTCATTTCATTGTGAGAAATACTGGTTCTCTAAAATACAGCGCGCCCCCCAAGAGTTTCACAGTGTCCGGGCAGCTCAAGGCAACATGAGCCAACTCATTCCCTGCGCTTTCAGGGCATGCGGGAGGGTGTCAGCATGGAGGGCAGTACTTGAGTCATCTTATCAGTGACAGCAGACATCAATACAAGATCCCTGCAGGCACCCGCTCCCACAGTTAGAAAATGAAAAACGACCACCAGGGCAGGGAAACGCATACAAATGCCCTTTACTGCAGAGCTCCTGCTGCCCAAAAGCCTGGAGGAGCAGGCAGGGCTTTCTGATGGTCTTATTTCTTTAAAAAAAGAGAAATAAAGTGACCAATCTGCAAGTTTAAACAGCTCATTTCATTCTCAGAGTCAACTTAACATACAATTAACAGAAAATTAATTTGAGATGGTGGCTTTTCTTCTTTAAAGCTTTTGGAGGATTTTACATTGCTACAATGGAACTAATGCATCTGCCAACTCAACTGAATTACGGCAGTGCCCCCAGAAGCCTAGCCTAAAGCCTAGCTTCAGCTGGCCTGGCCCCATTTTATCTGAAAACTTTAACCATTTCTTGCCATCTTACTTATTCGGTGGCACCGAGTCATATATTCTAAAGACTTTTTAAGGGAGAAAGTGTCATGACATAAGCAAGGCTCAAAAGATACTAGTGATGTAATATAGCTTGCTTGTATAATATCTGTTAATCGATATGCGCAATTCCCTCATTTAATTACTGCTGGCAAAGATAGAAGGCAAAAAGGGATTAAAAACATTCAACCTCTAAAAGCGTAGAAGCTTAGGCAAAACCAAAAAATATACCAAGATCAAGAACGCGGATTTTACCTTTGATGCCTTCCCAGAAGTCATTACGGTCTCTTCTGACTGAAGTAAACTTGCTTAAGTCATGATACGTACTCCAAATATAAACATATTTATCTTCTGAGCCACTTACAATGTAGGTAAAATCATGGCTAGAAATACAAGGGGAGAATTCTACCTTAATTTTTAGCCAACTTCCCAGCACAGCATCGCTTTTCTTAAAGGGACACGAAAGTGCAGAAAAAAGCATGCCCTGCTGTTTAGCATATTAAGTGCAGAAATCAGAAATGATTCCGATACCCTGAGAAAAATGGTTAATGAAAAAAAAAAACCCCCTCAACACCACATACACATTAGCTACTGGAGAGATGTAATGATTGCATCTGAATCTAAAAAAGAACTCGGGCAACAGAGCAGCAAGGAATGAACATCAGCAATCGCGGAAAAATAAGTGACGCTGAGTCGTCCCAGTGCTTCAAGTGGCAGCACACCTGCCTGATACAGTGGAAACCCCGGGTCTCACACAACCACCAGCCAATTCATGTAGTGTGCACGCACAGGTCTTGCCACCCTTTTCTGAAAAGGTGCGCCCCCAACAACTGACAATGGCAGTTGCAGAAACCCAACTTGGTGATGTTGCACAGAAGTCACACTCCTGCCGCTACCGATACTATAGAGCACATTCTCCAGTTTATTAGGGATCCCCCTCCAAACTGCAAGCAAGCGACTTGTACAAAAAACAAGTACTTTTCTGTGCTGCCGACAACCTGAAATGAGGATCTAGGGAGGCGTGCAGTGATAAAGGTGCGCATTTTACAGTTGGTTTTGACATGGGACCTAGAAGCACAAGATGCGGGTATGACAAGCTGCAAGAACTACAGGCTTTGAAGAAACAGTAAGCGGCGGATGACAGGTAATGCATACGCAAAGCAGGCTGTGTCAAGGTAGCCTATGCAGCCCCCAGTCGGAGTGCTTCTGGGGCAATCCTGCTGGTCCTGGGACTTTAAATAGGTTTGCTATTTAAACGTCATGAATGTAGTCTACAGGCTTGTACGTAGGAATGTCCCAGCTCTGGTCATCCCCACTCACCATCAGCTCTCCAACAGCTGACTGCAGAATGGCGGCTGGCAACCAAGATGTGGAGTTTTGCTACACTCCTTCTTGAGCAGCTGAGCACAAGACAAAAATGGATGCCAGAGTAGCTTTCAAGTTGAGCACAGACCCGAGACTGCCCTTTTCTCAAGAACGGCCTCTGTCATGGTCTTGGCCTAAAGTATAGCGCTAAAAGGAAGAGAGAGCTGGGACCTTTCCTCCTCTCCTCTTACAAACCAGCATGGCATTACTCCATCCCCAAAGTTTTAAACAGCTTTCAGAATCTGTGAAGACTCTTACAGGGCACATGTCAGCAACGATGCTCAGTCTGGAAGGGATGAGCTTCTTTACACAAGTGTTTGTCCTTGGGGAGACTCTAGCACCCCGTCCATGGAGCAGCATCACTTGTGCCCACCCAACAGAACATGCCTGACATCCAGCAAACCAACAGTCCAGATCTTCGGTTTGCAGAGCAAGGGTTTTATACATGGTGCCTGCCAGATTTCAAGGGGGCTCGCAGACTGGATTGCTATAAAGACACATTCATATCATGACATAGGGTCTGATTACCTGAAACTGGCTTTGATTTGGCTGCTGCTATTGACATAGCCTTTGTATTTCATAGATAAGGACAAATCTCTTAAATCGTAGAGTCTGATCCTGGAATCATTTGAGGTCACTAGTATCTGGAAGGCAAACGAGATGTAAACACATTAGAGGAGGTGTAAAAACCCAATTTCTAATTATAAACGACAAATTAGTTATGCCAAACCCAACCCTTAGGGTTAACAACTCGGCTGAGACAAGGTCAGAGGCTCAGTCAAGCTGTGAAGCAGAAGTCTTTCTAGGCTCTTGAAGAGCCTGCCACTTGCACTTGGCTCATCACAAAACTCATCCCAGAGCAACTGGAACAAGAATTATCACTTCTAACATTTCTGCATTTTCAGTCTAGGTCAGGAGATAGACACATGACAGACATTACAATGTCATTACAACCAACTCTTGTTTATAACAAACCCCAGCTTCTACCAGTCCTCACAGCCGGAACTGAATGTTTCATTATGATGATGGGCAAAGCGACTCACACAACCGCAGCAAACAACCTGTTCTTCATGAACTCTCCTGGTTCTACAGCCATAAGAGCCATGTCCTGTCCTGTAATGATGATCCATCAGGAGACAGCTGGTATGCCATTCATGGGGCACAGCTGGGAGAACAGGAGTGATCTCATAAAGAGTGGCAAACTATCAATCTCATAAATATATTATATTTTACTTGGTCAGAAAGGGTTTTTGTAGCTCCATGTGCATGCTCTTCAGGATCAGGAATTAAAGTACACAATTTAAACAGGGAAGCCTGGAAAAGGTATGTGGGAAAGCAACAACTCAAGATAGGGCAAGGAGGAATTGAGTTGACTCGTGCCTTCACAGCACGCTAGAAATGGAACCGGGTCTGTAGGGTAGCTAGTGTGTCAACACAGGATGCTGGACAAGTATCTGCTACTGCACTCTTTGGGTGCATTACAAAGTGCAAGCACACCAGCCAGCTAAGTACCTGACAACAACTGGAACCATGCTGGCGTGGCTTCTTGCCCACAGGCTTTGGTTCCAGGGCACCCGCAGTTCAGGTGCCATTTAAAAATGTTCCATTTGTGACAGGTGCTACACAGCGCGTCTTTCAGCTACTGAGAAAGAGAAATTCTTGCTAGAGCTGAAAAGTAGAGTTTAGAAAGCTCCCAATGAGCAGGTCACCTCTAACTGGCAGAGGGGTTTTTCTGCATCTAGGTGATTGCCCATCGTTTTGTTTTTTATTAGGAGCTGCTGCCCAGCTTGAGTTACACTGGCAGGAGCACAGCATTTGATAACCTAAACCCAAGATATATTGAGTTAAGCCAACAATATTTAATGCATTAGGTTAAATGAGTGAATCACAATCAGGGTGCCACTGCACCCTGGGGTGCTTTGAGAGCCTTTCAAGGGTGCCACACAATGTCACCACTGTTAGGCATGCAAATGTGATTCACAAAATAGGCCCAGAGATTTCAAACAGGAATCCACAGTGTCAAAAGCACTCAGACCTGCTGGGGTCTTCCTGAGTTCTTTGCAACAGAAGAATTGCCCTAGTCTTTTTCTGACTAGTCAAAAAAGGGCAGGCGTTTTCTGAGGGTGTCTCATGCCTCAAAGTCTGAGAACCACCAGACCGGATTACAGCACGTGCAAGTAATGGCAGCTGGTGCAACATTAGTTATGACAGTGTTAGATGTTGATTCAGCAAAAGCACCACAGTGCCAATACAGCAGAAACATTATAAGACAAGTTCTCCTTGTCCTTAGCTCGTTATTCTGTAGCACAGTATTTAAGAGCAGATTCTTTGAGCCAAAATAATTTGACCCCTTTAAATCAGTTCTGATTTTAGGTGCTTGTCCCTTACACTGCACCAGGAGACCCATTATGGAAATGACCGATTTTCTGACTACAAAACCGCAGCTTATGAGTCATGATTAACATACTGCTCGAGTCACATGTGCCATCAGAAGACTTTCCAAATAACTAGTTCTGCCAAAGACAAAATAAGCGTTTCCTAAGGAACTCATAGTTCATAGATGTTAGCGTTGGAAGGGACCTCAACAGATCGAGTCCGATCCCCTGCATAGACATGAAAGAGTGCTGGGTTCAGATGACCCCAGCCAGATGCCCATCCAACCTCCTCTTGAAGACCCCCAGGGTAGGGGAGAGCATCACCTCCCTTGGGAGCCCATTTCAGACCTTGGCCACTCTAACTGTGAAGAAGTTCCTCCTAATGTCCAGTCTAAATCTGCTCTCTGCTAACTTATGGCCATTATTTCTTGTGACCCCCAGGGGTGCCTTGGTGAGCAGAGCCTCACCAATTCCCTTTTGCGCCCCCATGATGAATTTACAGGCAGCCACAAGGTCGCCTCTCAACCTTCTCTTGCGGAGGCGGAAGAGGTCCAGGTGCCCTAGTCTCTCCTCGTAGGGCTTGGCCTGCAAGCCCTTAACCATACGAGTGGCCCTTCTCTGGACCCTCTCCAGGTTAATCACATCCCTCTTGAAGTGTGGGGCCCAAAACAAGTATCACCTCCCTGGTTCAGTTTGTCATGCATCTGCTGATGCACGATAAAGTGCCATTAGCTTTGCTGATGACTTCTTTTCATCCCACTGATGACTCATGTTCATCTTGGAGTCCACTAGGACTCGGAGATCCCTTTCCGCTTCCGTGCTGCCGAGCAGGTCATTTCCTAGGCAGTAGGTGTGCTGGGCATTTCTCCTCCCTAGGTGCAGCACTTTGCATTTCTCCTTGTTAAATTGCATTCTCTTCTTTTCTGCCCATTTGTCCAACCTGTCCAGGTCTGTCTGTAGTTGTTCCCTGCCCTCCGGTGTGCCTTCTCCCCACAGTTTTGTATCATCTGCAAACTTGGACCGAGTACACTTCACTCCCTCGTCCAAGTCACTGATGAAGACGCTGAAGAGTATTGGTCCAAGGACTGAGCCCTGCAGGACCCCACTACCCATGTCCTTCCAGGTCGATACCGAGCTGTCCACCACCACTCTCTGGGTATGACCCTCTAGCCAATTCGCCACCCACCAGACTGTGTAATCATCCATGTCACAGCCTCTTAACTCATCAGCACCAGTCATTTTTGATTCCTACAATATTTATTATGTGGTACGTGCTATTAAAAATGGCATTTTCCTCTCTGCTGCAATCTGAATCCTGTTGCCACAGAGGATTACAGCAATACTCAATGTCAGGGGTCAGTGAGAGCACAGGTGGCCTCTGAAGTGTACTGTATTGGTACCTTATTTTCTCCAGGCAAGGGTTCAATCCCAGTAATTTTTCTTCCAACTCTGTTCCGTCCTCTGGTAGAACGCACATGTATCTGTGTATGGTACTTCAAGTGCTAAGAGAAATTAAAATGATCCTTAATGGTTTTAAGTGCCAGCTATCACCATACTCAAGGAACATGATTTAAAAACTGGTATTTCTGTGACAGAAAGGTAAATGACTTAATGTAAAGACTCCTTTAATTCCTACAAAAAACATCATGTAGGAGTGAAAGTGGCTGTTCTTTCAATAAATGTATGCCGCAGTCTAAGTCTAACTCAATTCCAAAACAGAATTTTTTACCTCTGTGTCATAGAAGATGCATCTACCATCGTATGTGCCAATCACTGCATATTTGCCGTTCTGACAGAAGTTTGCAGCCGTGATTAATTTTGTCTGCCCATCCACTTCGTTCCATAATGCCACTTTTTTGTCAGGAATGTTCCAAAGTCGGAGTTTCCCATCCAGCGAGCCACTTAGGAAGTACCGATCATCCTAACAGAGTACACAGGAATAGGAGGTGCACGGCCTAAAATACATTCTAACAGTTTACTTAAAACTGGAAGTTTTAACATGGTGAAAAATCATGTTTAATCAAGTTGGCTATTGCAACACAGAACAAAACTGTGCAGTCAGTATAAAGGCAGTAATACATTACGCATCATGTCAGCCAGTCACAGCTACACTCTGTGGGGACCAGGTTTAACAGTGACTGCAATGCAGGACTCTGGTCTAGGAGGGATATTTTTTTATGGACACAGAAGTCATTCAGGTATCCAATTTCTAGTGTCAGGTTTTAAATCTGACAGCAAACAGGAGGTGCCTAAGTGCCCTTTTAAAATCTTCCCTCTATTCAAACAAAAACAAAAGATGACTACTTACTCTTGGATGGAAAGCTATCGCAGTGACAAAGTCTATGTGCTGGAAGCAGCAGAGACATTCTCTTCTGGATATGTGCCATAATCTGACTGTTTTGTCCATGGAAGAGGAAAGCAAGAAGTAATTCTGTGGAAGACATTCCAAGGAGATTACTCAAAGGCTTGTTATAGGTACTAAGCACAAATGCAATTTGGTATCTAGCACTTCGTGGTCAGGTGTCAAAAATTTCCAGGTCCTAGCATCCCAGCAAAAATTTAACAGTGATGAAAAAGTGAACAATGACTAAATACTAGAGGCTGACCAGTGTTAAATGCAATTCCTTTTTTTTGCTGGAAGCACAGTTATTAGCTGTCACACCCAGTTTACTAAATGGTGCAACTAGTTGAGAGAACTATGAATAGAAATGTTACTGCTCTAGATCCTAACACCATTTCCTCCATTTTTTAAATTAGTTACACTTTTTAGTTTATTTTTTTTCCCAGTGACTAGAGAACTTTGGATGGCAATCTTGGAAAGTTAGCCTAATTCCTGCACAGTTCCCACTTGAAGTTGAGGAACATTTCTGATTTATGACATCAAAATTATCTCCCCCGCAACTAGCTGCAAAGTTGACGCTGCAGAAAAGGAACAGCTTAATCCTGCCTAAACATACTGCTCTGTTCATGGAAACATCCTGAGAAAGAAAGGAATGAGACAGAAAAATCCTCTTTACGCTGTCAGTACTTCAGATATTCCCAGAGCCTTCTAAAGAAGTGCTGCCTGTGGTTTTTAAAAACAAAAGCCCTGCCACATTCTTTTTCTGAAACTGGGTTTCTAAGATTTTTTCTCTTTTTATATTTCATACTTTGGACTAACACAATACCAAGTGACGCTGCTAAGAAATTCAGATCATCCAATTATTTCTCCCTACAATATCTAGGTCCTCGGACTTTAAAATAAAAATGCTATTTTCATCCAACCCAGTTATTGTGGCCCTGATTGTTCAGTACAGAAAATGCAATGGTAAGCTTTCCTTTTAAAAAAGCCCCCATGATATAGAACCTAATGGAGTGCGATTCTCTTAGTTTATTTAACAGCAGAGAGGCAGCTTTAAAAGCACATGTGGAATGTCCTGAAGACAAAAATAGCAGTAATGTTATAAACTGGAAACCACAGGATAGCTTAACAGAAATTCCTTTTCCCTCCCACCCCAAAATTCAGAGTCTTTTCCAGTTATTTCACAAAGCATTATTTAAGGCATTTCTTTCACCTGAGAATTTTGTTCAATCCTGGTTCTATGTTGCATGTTCTGTGCTAAGAACTGAAAAAGTATATTTCTTTGATTTTAATAAAGACTTCATTTTTCAACCAAGTAGGAAATAAAATGGCTCCCAGAAATAACAATGTTTGAATGGATAAAAGAGAATTAAAATCTTTCATTTCTGTATTTTTGGTCTCCTCAGTTGCTTCTGTAGAATCCAACAAGTTTTCCATTTTCAAGCTTAAGCGAACTGTGCTTAAATGGCTCAGCACCAACACTAACTAGTAGGGCAACTGCAACAAAGCATTCATGGACACAAGGTCAACATGATTTGCATCATCTAGCTTAACCATTTAAACACGTGGGCTTAAAATACACCTTAGAGTATGCCTAAAGCTATGAGAATAATGATTTTAATGGTTGAACTCCCCCAAAATAAAAAAGTTCACAACAAAATATTGTGTTTTAAAAAGTTTAGCTTTCTTTCAATTAACTCTAGGAAATATCAACACTAAGTATTTCAAAATGAGTAATTAAAATGTTGCTTCAAAACACTCAAAACATTTCAACTGTTGTGGGGTGGGGGTTAAACATGTTTAGCTGAAGCTAGAATTTGGCATAAATGAGTGGTTTTGGTTGAGCCAAACTTGTATTTGAGTGAGAAAAGTGTTTTGCCCAGCTCACATGGAGATAAGCCTCAAATAACTAGTACCAACCATCCCAGCCTCCTCTCTGAGCAGCCTGAACTCTACCGGGAAGAGCATGACAAGAACTGAGAAGACCAAGTTTTCAGTTGTTTTGACTTTGGTTAACAAAGTTTATGGGAAAGCAAAACATTTTTAGAGGATCTAAAACTGCAGTTAGCAGCAGGTCCTCACATTTCCATGGGAAATATGCAAAACAAATGGACTCTGCTTCATGCCACTGCAGACTGAGCTGTAATGTGACATTTAACAGGGTTCTGCTTTATTTCCACTAAAATAATTCTCCGCAGACGACTAGTCTGGCCGTTGGTCTGTAGTTACATTTTAGCCATAGAAATGATTCCCAGGGATGGGCTATCTTTGAATGCATTAGCATCCTGACCAGAACTTCAGTAAGAGTAAGCAAGCCAGCACAGTCCAACTGTCCCCAGTGACACGGTGGAGATGTGTGCCTCCTGAGTATCCTGTGCTCATGTTTAACAGAGGCTACTGCAGGAGCGAAAAGCTGCAGGGAGATGAGAATAACATGCATGTTCTTACACTCTATGTTCCATTTATGATAAATGGAAACCACCCCACTTAGGTCTTTGCCAGTTTTTGGACAGTGTATGCCTGTCTATTGAGCTGAAATCCACTGCTTTGCTTAGATATAAAAGGGCCAAGCAATGTAAGATACGTGGGAGCAAGGCAATAGAGCAAAATATGGGGAATGGAAAAGCTGTGCAGTCTACATGAAAGGTGTCTTACCTTAGACCATGAGAGATCCAGTAGATCTGCTGTATGTCCTTTGTATTTGCAAAACGGCCGCTGCCTAAAGGGTGCATTTTTATCATCAGGATCTTCATCAGTTCCGCTGCAAACCTATCAAATCAACATACCACACGGATTAACAGCACAGAAAGACTACAAGAAATATAACAACAGGCTGGCAGCTGGTTACAGCATAGTGCAGTAGTGCCCCCACCTCTGAAAGCAGGAACAAAATCCTAGCATCAACTAGTACATAAGAAAGATTCAACTCGGATGGCTGAACACCACTTCAAAATGTCATATGGTGCTATATGCAGAGATACAGTTACAGCAACACCGTTCTCAAAGCACAGAGGGCTGCCACACATCAATTTTATACCAAAGTATTGTAGTGTTGAACAACGCAGTGCCTTTCATTACAGCAGTATAAGCTGCCACTAATCAAGCACGCTTCTAAAGGTGACTGGTCTGCATTTGCAGGTTACGGCTTTAATAAATGTTACTGGCCTTGAAAGTCCCCTCACTTAGGGGAGGACAGACAGACAGACAGACAGACAGACATTAAAGTTCCTACTGCATTTTGGGAATAGCACTTCAGAGCTAGATGATCCTTTAAGGGAAAGTTAATGCAAGAAGAAAAATAAACACTGTTTGGGTAGCCTTTTATTAAAGGCTGGCTTTTAGGGAAGGGGGAAAAACAAAAAGATATCAACTTTACCATTTAGGTGGTTTACAACACTGGTATGGACTTAATAAAACACACTACACTACAGGTTTCTGGCAACTACACCATAGTTAACCACTGGTAAAAGATTACAATTTTCAACTGTAAGGACTGTAATGACAATTCATGTCCTTGACTGATTCCAATAGGCTAAAAACAGTGTTATATGTGAAACATACATCTATCTATATATCTGTAAAATGAAGTGTATGTCTGCATGTCTGTTTGCTTATAACTCAAGAATGGCTGGTCCTATCTACTCTAAACTTTCCCCCCCCCAAAAAAAAAAAATCACTAATACCATCCAAGGAAAAATTATAGGCAAGTTACATTTTTCACTTGATCCTTTTTGGGGCTTCCAGTGACTGGGATTACTTTGCTTCTCAGATAAACTGGTCCCACCCCATTTAGGATGCAGTTAATTCAGTTCAACTGTCTTTATTATAAAATGAAGTGTATGTCTGTATGTATGTTTGCTTATAAAACTCAAGAATGGCTGGGCCTATCTACTCTAAACTCTGCAAAGTCAGTGAATACCACCTGAAGAAAATTACAGCCGTGTTATTTTTCACTTGACCCTTTTTGGGGCTTCCAGTGATGATTTAAGGGAACAATGCTTTTCACACCAGCAGTTATACATGGTTTGCTCCAGAGTTGGTTGTCAAAGGGGTTGTATATACTGGCCCCAACAGGAAACGCCATGAACATCGTTTACAAGGAAGTTCTACAATAAAGATCATTCATTTGGATGTCATTTGAAATATCGCTCCACTTTAAATATTAAATGTTAAATATGTTGTACTAAGTTCTTTGAAAATAAACAAACACTGCAATTACAAAAATAACAACCCCAGTGAAGAATGGGTCCTTCCACTAGTTTTTTTTTGCACACGCACACACGTCATTCAGTTCTCCAATTAGGTAGGCAGTAGTCAATTTATATCAATCTATAAATAAAGGGAACAATACGCACATATGTACACAAAACACAGGCACACCATTTCTAAAATTTGCTTTACGCTCCTTTTTGTTTATCTGCTTCATTCAGAAAATCCAACAACTGCAAAATCACTAGGCCAGGATTTCAAACAGTTATTCAGTTATCTTAACCAGTCAGCTCCAACTCCCACTGGGAAATTATCTTTAATTAGTAGAATATCAAAATGAAGATGTAACAGCAACTTATCAAATTAACTCAAATTTATTTCTTGCCTTTATTAACTGTGTATGTGGCCTAAACATTTTCATTCAGATCCTAGTTTCTGATGACATCAATAAATGTTCTATTTGGATCTCTCAGAAGACCTTATAAAAACCTGTGTTCTTACTAAGTGGAACCTTTCACTGAAGACAACGCAAAGATCAAACTGCAGAACTGTGCCTTCAGACTTTAAATTCCCCCAGAACTGGAGCACGTTAAAGAAACACAGAGCAATACAAAAGAAGTCTTATCCTATCAGATGCACATACCCCTGCATCAGTATCAGACTTTGAAGAATTCAGGCTCTCTTGGGATGGAGAGGGGGACACACGACCTAAATCACAAGAAAAGGTAACATGTTTAAAAATTCGTTAAGCAGGACTTTTCTTTTTAAACCAAGAAAAAGTTATGCCTAGAATCGTGAGTGTTCCTGAAATGCAAATGCAAAAAAAAGAAAGAAAAAAATACCTTCTGTATTGTATTTCATTCGCATGTTGTTGAAATAATCAAAAGCGTTTTTTAAAACCCATATTCTCACTACATTATCCTGCCCTCCTGATGCAAGTAATCGGCCACAGTGAGAAAATTTCATTGTCCAAACAGCACCCTGTCAAAATAGAAAACACACAAACAAACAAAGCTCATCAACTGCCAAGTGCCTTTTGCCATGCCACGTGCATTACTAGAAAACCAACTGGTGCACACACACAAGGGCATGTTCTATTAAGCATATAAAATACATCACCCAGGAGTTAAGAAATGCCAGGATGAAGGTTCCTGGACAAGCTTAATTTAGTGCCTTTGAGTACGCATTATGATATGATTACTAATTATGTGATTATACACAGTACAGGGATGGACTGGCTCTGAAGATGAATTCAAACAGTTTAGTGAAGGAAGTTGTTTGTAGGCTCCAGGCTTCATTTGCTTTTGAAAAAACAAGGGTGTACAGTGAGGGAGACATGGGATTGAATGAAGAGAAAGGAGGGCCCCCTAAGTAAAGGCAGCTAAATGCTGCCATTAATTTCCTATATTATGTTAATTCACAGCACTCATTAACTGTACTCCTCTTTTCTTGCATGCCTGACTAGAGATCCAGAGATTTGATTTACAAAAGGGGTGAGCATTCACAGCTGTTGCTAAGGCACAGCTCCAGTTGACTTCAATATAAGAACTGCTGAAGACCCTGAAAAATCAAGTCCTGGGTGTCCCAGACTGGGCAGCCAAAATTAAGATTCTTGTACCAGGATTTCTTCTATGCACCTCTGCTCCCCACCTGTAAAACACAGACATCACTGCCCAGTCTTACGTGGATGTTGTGAAACTCAGCTGCTATTTATGAAGCACTCCCAGTGATGAGCCTGGTGGGAAAATTAATTCCATCTTCAGAGCAAGGCTTATGTACTGAACAGACATGAGACGACCCAAAATACAGAATAGCTAGCTGCTTATCATACTGATACCAAGATGGATAAGCAGCAGGATTAAAAGAAAAGACCTGTGCCACTTCAATTAAGACAGCAGATGTATTAGCGATAGGCCATCATCTCCTGCATGGACCATCACTAAAAGGAAGGCAACATCTTGACAGTATCTTTCATGTATTTACTGACAATGGAAGAATCAAGAGACTCAGGAATCTTGGGTCACATTCTGGGCGCTCCAATATTTCCCAGGAAAACACTGAAGTCTGAGCTGCAGAGCACAGCTTACTGTTTTCCCAACCAGAGGGAAACATAGATCCTACCAATGGTTCCTCATGGGTGAAGGAACAAGCCCTGGCTTTTCCATTTGCAGGCTCTTGCCCACAGAGGAGAGGATCTGAAGTGAACTGGAATGACACAGTAGGAAGAAGCTCTGAAGACCCTCTTGGATTTCAAGCTGACCAGGCTCAGCAAATAAAGTGAAAGTGATATGCTTACCATATGTTCCCCACTGAGATCCTGAACTACTTTTATTTGTTCAAAATCGTAAGGACCCTTGAAGCCATGTGCTGCTTTGAATTTAACAGGTCTTGTGTATGGCATTCCTTCATCATCACTTGAAGAGGGATCATCTTGATCAGTATGGAAAACTAAGTAGACATAAATTTAAATAGGCATTAGACAACAGTCACTTCATCCCCACAGTGCATTTGTCACTAATTTTCTTGAAAGGGCCTATTATTTTGCTCTTGAATTGGTAGTGATTTTCCTTTCACTAAAGACATTTCCAAACCAAGTAAGATTCTTACTGCATTAACAGGCCTAAGCCTAATTTGAAAGGAAGAACACAGACAAAAACAAGGGAACAAAATGAGGAAAGATTAAACAGCCCGACTGAAGGATACAGGAGCCTTCCAATAACAGTTCAATTCCATTAAAAATATAATGCTCACAAGCACTATGGAAAAAATATCTATAATTCAAAGAAGAAAAGAACATGCTTTTGTGGGCACCAGAACTGTGCGCTGTTTGCACAACATCCTCATTACTGTTCTGGCTGGAATTGGTTTCCAAAGTTTCAGTGGCAACAGGAAAGTGAAAAGTTAGGGCACTCAGGTGGATCAGATAAAAACCACCAACTAATTTTCTCCCTCATGAGAGATTACATGGGAGAAGTCTGAAACCCTTGAGTGCTTGATGCCGTCTCCAGGGTGGACAAAGCTCCTGGTTGAATGACAGACATAAAGACTAAGAACTAGTGATTATTAATTAAAGATGCATAATCTTATGTGTCCAAACATTATTATGTTTTTAAGAGTATAAAACCCAACGTTGCCTATAGATCTATATAGGCCATGGTGCCTATGTTGGAGGTAAGATTTTTTTTTTTTTTTTTTACTTTAGCCCTCTCCATCTACCTGGCAGCCTTTTTTGCTGTTTTAGGAGGCAATGAACAGCAGTAAGACAAGGAGGGAAACAACCAGTGAGGCCATCCTTGAAAGGTTTTTCCATAAAGCTGCATATAAGACAGTAATGGAAGCCTTGACTCCAAGAACCCACATTATGTTAAAGTTATATGGTGATGGCACAATTAATTTTTAATCTCCAAAGAAAGATCCCTGTTCCATTGTACAGCTTTGGTTCCCCATGGACCCAACAAGGCCATGAGAGGGGGAGGAAGAGAGCATGCAAGCGAGCACAAACATATTTCACTGACCTTCATCTCGAACACTTTTAACTTTATTTACAGCACGTTCACCATATTCTTCAGCAAGATGTTTTGCCCTTTTCACTGATTTGCCCAAGAACTTTTTCAGCTGAGTCCTTAAAAAGCAAGAATAGTTTTTCAGTACCTGAACTGACCAATGGATGACGTTACAATTGCAATCCATAACTCAAGAACATTACAGATTTAAAATGTAAAGGCAAAACAAAGAATATTGTTTCAGAATTGCTTAACTCATTAGCATGGGTCACTTAATTAGCTGCTATTTTAAATATGCAATAGTGAACTTAATTATGTCAGAACCAGGTTTAGAAGTTATTTTTAAAACAGAAAAGACAGAGTCACTTGAGACTGGAGAAACAGTGAAGATCATTAAATAAAAGCAAAACGTTTTTACTTAAAGGTATTTCATAGATTTCATAGACATTAGGGCTGGAAGG